AAAAAAAAAAAAAAAAAAAAAAATTAGCCAGGCAAAAATGAGTGGTGGTGCACACCTGTAGTCCCAGATATTCAGGAGGTGAGGTAGAAGGATCACCTGAGCCCAGGAGGTTAAGGCTTCAGTTAGCCAGGATGGCACCACTGCACTCTAGCCTGGGCAACAGTGAGACCCTGACTCAAAAAAAAAAAGGAATTAGAATTTAGAATTAATACTTGCCTTTAGGTGGTGAGACAATAATTTTTTCTTCTACTTTTCTGTATTTTCCAAAGTAAATTTGAAAAATAAGCACATTTTATTATACAAGTTTAGTACAAAAGATACTGATGTATGGATGGACTTTTTTTTTTGAGTCAGTGTCTACCTCCCAAAGTGCTGGGATTACAGGTGAGCTACCATGCCCAGCCTGTGGGTGGACTTGGATGCGCCTTTCAGCACATGGCCACCAGAGGCCACTCAAGGGACCAGATGACGAGGAGCAGCAGGCTGCCAGTGACAGGTCCATGCCGAGTGAGCCCAAGGTGCTGGCTCTCTGGGCACCGGTTGCTCTTCAGGCTTGGGCCTCCCCCAAGTCTCGCTGGGGCTAAGCCCACCCCACTGGGCAGATAAGCAGCCCCAGCCAGGGCTGGGCATCAAGGTGGGCAGTAGGGCTATCTGCAGTGCTCAGACACTGCTCCCAGTGCCCACAGGACCACACAGAGTAGCCTCAGAAGAGGTCTCTGAGCTCACCTGACCCACTAGTTCCCCACCTCGCTCAAAGGTGAGAGTCATCTGGAGTGTTGTTGAGTGGATTCCTGAGTCCCAACCCCAACCTGCAAAATCGGAATTTCCAGGAGGGAGCCCAGGGAGGCATACTTCCTGTGATTCCACGAGGGGAAATGTTTTTAAATACTGACTCTAAGCCTGGCTCCGTGGCTTAGCCTATAATCCCAGCACTTTGGAAGGTGGAGACGAGTGGATTGCCTGAGCCTGCGGATTCAAGACCAGTCCGGGCAACTTGGCGAGACCTCATCTCTACAATAAAATAAAAATTTAGCCGGGCATGGTAGCGCACGCCTGTAGTTCCAGCTACTTGGAAGCTGAGGCGGAAGGATCGCCAGAGCTCAGTAGGTCGACGCTGGGTTGGCCATAAGTGTGCCACTGCACTCCAGCCTGGGCGACAGAGTGAGACTCCAACTCAAAATAAATAAATAAGTAAATGCTGATTCTATTCCATTCATTTACTTGAGGAGCCCAAGTTTAGGTGGCGGCTTACCAATGGCTGCTTAGAGATCCAGAGCCAACCCCGGCTCTTCTGGTACCTGAGTGAGGGTAGGAGGGGCAGGCCTGTCACTCACGTGTCAATGGCTTGCTGGAATTTCCCAACTCTGGCAAAGACTCTGCCAATGTTGTCAAGGGCTCTCGATTTTGCATCGGAAAGGTCACTGTATGGAAGAAGCAGAACAAGCATTGCTGGAAATTGGCTGCTCTGGGCACCATGGACACAGCGAGGAAGGCAGGATGGGTTCTGGCCTCTGGGTTGCAGCTGAAGGATGGTACCCAGGCTGGGAAGGCTGCAGCATACAGGCCCTCTCATGCCCTGAGGCCGAGGGAATATCATCAGTCAACAATTTGCAAAAATATCTCTTTGATCCAGCAAGAAGGTAATGTGAAGAGAAGAGTCAATCAGGTGCAGTGTCTAATAACAAACATTCAAAATAATCTATGTTATCATTGCTCTAGCAGTGGCAGTTTGTAGTTATAAAAAAGGCCCACAATATATTAAGTTTGAAAGTCAGATTACAAGAGAATATAACATGTATATTGTCCCAATCGTGTTTATATATATATATATATGGGTTGGGTGCGGTGGCTCATGCCTGTAATCTCACAACTTTGTAGCCAAGCATGGTGGCGCGTGCCTGTAGTTCCAGCTACTTGAAAGGCTGAGGCAGAAGGATCACCTGAACCCAGCAGGTTGTGGCTGCGGTGACTGTGAGCGTACCACTGCACTCAAGCCTAGGCAACACAGTGAGACTCCAACTCAAAAAACAAAAAAACAAACAAAAAGCCCAGAAAAAAAAGAACATTAGGAGCCAAGGCAGGTGGATTGTTTGAGCCCAGGATTTCAAGACCAGGCTGGGCAACACAGCAAGACCTCATCTCTACAAAAAATTAAAAACTTAGCCGCTAGCCAGGTGTGGTAGTACGTGCCTGTAGTTCCGGCTACTTGGAAGGCTGAGGCAGAAGGATCGCCAGAGCCCAGCAGGGCGAGGCTGCAGTGGCCAGCAGTGTGCCACTGCACTCCAGTCTGGGCAACAGAGTGAGACTTCAACTCAAAAAAAACCCAACTTAGCCGGGCGCAGTGGCTCATACCTGTAATCCCAGCATTTTGGGAGATGTCTAGAGACGAGAGGATTGTCTGAGCCCAGGGGTTCAAGACCAGCCTAGGCAACTTGGCAAGACCTCATCTCTACAATAAAAGAAAAAAAAGCCAAGCTCAGTGGCACCTGTAGTTCCAGCTACTTGGAAGACTGAGGCCGAAGGATCGCGTGAGCCCAGCAGGTTGAGGCTGCGGTGGTTGTAAGCATACCGCTGCTCTCCAGCCTCAGAGACTCTAACTCAAAAATAAATAAAAAATAAAATAAAATAAATTAGCTGGGGTGATGGTGTGTGCCTATAGTCCCAACTACTCAAGAGGCTGAGGCAGAAGGATCACCTAAGCCCAGGAGACCACAGCTGTGTTGAGCCATGATAGTGGCACCACACTCCAGTCAGTGAGACTCCGACTCATATATATATATATATATGCCTGAAGCAAAATTCTGTGTTCTGAAAATGGAGCAGGGGACCCCAGGCAAGGGGTGCCGTGAACATCGCTGTTGACGCTGTTGGCACTGGAAAAGGCAAGAAGCACTCTGGAGGGATATGGCCTCACCAACACCCTGACCAGCCAGTGACACTGATTTCAGATTTCTAACCTCCAGAGCTGTAGGAAAATAAATATGTGTTATTGTTAAGCCCCAAGAAGTAGGCATTTGAAAAATAAGTAGGCTGGGCTCAGTGGCTCAGCCTATAATCCCAGCACTTTGGGAGGCTGAGGCAAGTGGATTGAGACTCACCTGGGCAACTTGGCAAGGCCTCAGCTCTACAATAAATCAAAAATTAGCCGGACGTTAGCGCATGCTTATAGTTCCAGCTACTTGGAAGGCTGAGGAGGAAGGATCACCAGAGCCCAGCAGGTCGAGGCTACGGTGGCCAGGAGAGTGCCACTGCACTCCAGTCTGGGTGACAGAGTGACACTCCAACTCAACAAAAAAGAAAAAGAAAAAGAAGTAAAAAATGTGAGTCTAACTGTGAACAATAACCACCCAGAGGAAATGAGACAATGAGGGAAACTTTCCATTAATCCATAGTTGAAATTTTTTTTTTTGAGTTGGGGTCCCACTCTGTTACCCAGGTTGGAGGGCAGTGGCATATCACAACTCACCTCTTGGGCTCAGGCAATCCTGCCTCAGCTTCCCAAGTAGCTGGGACTACAGGATGTGCTACCATGCCTGGCTAATTTTTATAATTTTTTTGTAGAGAGGAAGTCTTGCAATGTTGCTCAGACTGGTCTCAAACTCCAGCAATCTTCCTGCCTCAGACTCCGACAAGACATATTCTTTTTCTAAAAAAGGACCAGGCGTGGTGACTCACACCTATAATCCCAGCACTTTGGGTAGTGGAGGCAAGAGGAATGCCTGAGACCAGGGGTTCAAGACCAGCCTGGAAAACTTGGCCGTAGCCCAGACCTTGGCCAGACCCTATCTCTATAATAAATCAAAAAATTAGCCCGGCGTGGTGACACATAACTGTGGTGTCTGTCAGTTACTTGGAAGGCTGATGCAGAAGGATCACCTAAGCCCAGCAAGTGGAGGCTGTGGTGGCCATGAACATGCCACTGCACTCCAGCCTGAGTGACAGAGTAAGACTCCAACTCAAAAAAAAAAAAGAAGAAAAAACTGCCTTTGTTCTAAAACCCTATATATGTGTATACATGTGTGAGAACATAGGGAAACACACTGAAAAGGGGCCAGAGGACACAGTTCAGGAGGCCTCAGGAAGCATATAGGAGGGAGGGGGCATCAGATTGGTTTTCAGCACCACACAGCACTGGCCAAGCTGATATTGCAGTGCCTATGTAAAAACAACCTCCTTCCTGGGCCACAGTGCCACACAGGTTAGTCTGTTACTCAGCATGGCATCCTTCCCATCACACTCCCTGCAGCTCATCCCTGCCTCTGACCAGGATGTCCCTCTTTCCACCCCTTGTCCACCTTGCTGGCCCTGCTGGCCAGCCTCTCCCTGGACCTTGAGCCACACCCCACACCTGCAGCAACCAGGGCACCTGAGTGGGTGCTGTGTTAGGGGTGAATGGGTGACTATGTTGTCATGTGCTGGTTGATTCATCACAATACGCACAGTCCGAGGAAACCGCACCAAGATCATGGAACACTCAGAATCACTGCTGAGGCTGGGACTCTGAGCAGCACTTAGACTGGCAAGTGGCAGGTCACGAGCAAGGAAATAGGGCACAGGACTCACGGGGAAGAGCACAGCAAGTGGGTTGCCCTGTGTGCTAACTAGAAGCCACCCATCTGGCTGAGGGTACCTGTCTCCATATCCCATCACTTGAGCACGCCTGCAGCACACCCTTCGCAAGCCCAAAGTCCACCAGGGCAGCTGGCACAACTGGGGAGAGGGGAGCCCTGGAGGGGCTTCTAAATCATCCCCTGGGGGCATAGGAGGGTGTTGCTGAGGGACCCTTATTTACATATGGAAGAGACTAGCTCCTTAAGCCCTTGCGAAGGGGGGGGGATGGGAGGGGGATATATATATATGACAGGACTTCTTGGGGCTTGGCAGGAGCCCAGGACACCTGCGGGCCTGAAGAAGGCCAGGGCTCGCAGGCCAGGATTATCCCACCAGGAGGGGCACCTGAGTTGAGCAGGGCAGGGGGACTCCATCCAACCCAAGACATGATTTTCCTAGGAGGGTCAGGAGGAGCTGCAGGAGGCCAAGTCAGAGGAACTGACCAGAAGGGACGAGAGGCAGGATGAGCTGCAGGAGGGACGCAGCAAAGTCAGTGACAGGATACAGGAGGACGGGGAGGGAGGGGGTGTCTGGGAAGCCTCCTGGCCTGACCGAGTGAGCAATAGGGCCATTCTCAGGAGACGGAACCCCAGGGCAAGAAGTCTGGGGGGAGGCAGGGGCTCCTGTGGGGCACCCCACGGAGAGGCCTTGGGCAGCTGGGCATGTAGGTCTGGGTTTGGGAGAGGTCTGGTGAGCAGCAAAGTGTCCCAAGTCTCTGCGCAGGGAGAGGCGGGTCCAGGTTCCTGCACACACACACAGAGCACTTAATCCCCATGAGCCCTGAGAGCTGGTGTCACTGAGCCTTCCCGAGAATGCAGACACCTACAAAATGACACCTCAAGCCCACAAGGTCCTGAGTGGCTGAGTCAGGAACACGACGCATGGCACCAGGACGGGTCTGCCTCCATGCTGTGTTTTCCCTTCTTCTGGAATGGCCAGCATCTGACACTTCCCCTCAGCACAGTGAGGCAGGTAAGACGTGAACTGGGAATGGGCAGCATTCAGGGATCGGCCGGTGAAGAGAAGAGGGCAGCCAGCAGGAATGTTCAGGAAAGTCTGACCCCACAGAAGATCCCAGCGGGCAGTGCAGGGGGGTCTAGAGAGGGCCTCAAGGTTGGGCAAAGGGCGTAGCTTTTAACCTGCAGGCAGTGAGGGGCCTGGGCCTTTCTGTCAGGCTGGGAAGGAGGGCTGACAGATGGAGGAGGCTCTGGAAGAACAGGAGAGACCAGAGGCAGGGGAGCATCAGTGCTCGGAGGGCAGATGGACAGTCACGGGGGCAAATGGGTGGTGGAAGACCAAGGAGGATCAGGCTGGTGGCTGAGTGGAAATCCGACAGGAGAAGGTCAGGGACTCCGGAGGGAAAAACCAGCCCCCCAAAAGCAGTGGTGTCTCCAGGTGGCCACAGAGCTTGAGGAGAGCTCGTTCTGGGAGAGCTGACTTTACTGTTATCACAGGTGGCAGGCTCTGTCCTAAGTCCTGGACATGCCCTGCTGCCTATCATTCTCCCTCCCACCCGGAGGGTGCCCAGCTGACACAGGAGGAGGCACTGAGGTTGACAGAACCCAGGTGACAGCCTCCGGCTCCTCACCAGGAGGCGCTGGTCCCAGAGCCCGGGCCCACCTGGCTGCAGAGCCTGCTCTTGGCCAGCACAGCTTCGAGGTTGCATGGCCTGGCCCTGCCACCTCCTCCAGTCCCTCAGCCATACTTCCTGGAATGACCATGCCCCAGCCCTCAGTCCCCTGCCTCTGGGCCTCCCACAGGCCATGGGCTCCCTGGATATACTTCTCACAGCTCTGGCTCCTGTCCTCTTCTCATGACACCTGTCACAACTGCAATCACTTAGCTACGTCCCCTTCTGTTGACACCTGCAGGGCCATGACCCTGGAGTCTGGCCCCTACTGTGTCCCGGTGTTGGCCCCTGGGAGTGTTTGGAAACTGAGCCACAGCAAAAAAGCAAACAGGCTGCGCCCTACACTGGTCCTGGGCAGGTGGTCCCCACTTAAAGAGGCCTCTCCCTCCGGCATGCAGGGTGCAGCCCAGGCCCTCCTGGAGGCTGCGGCCCGGCCTGCCCAGGACTCACTGCTCCCGGGCGATCTCCAGGTCCCTCCTGTGGCTCTGCAGGGCGGCCATCATCTGGCCCAGCTCGATCTGTGCGTTCCCGATGCAGCTGTGCAGGTTTCCCACCAGTTCGTCCTTGTTGGGCACCTCATCCTGGTCCCACTCCAGGACCTTCTTCAGCACCTTTTCGGCCTTCTGGAGACTCCCCTCAGCGTTGCCGCTGGTCAGCACTGGGCAGGGAAGGGGTCGGGGGTGAGGGCAGCCCCCTCTCGGCCAGCTGAGACTGCTCTGCTGCTCCAACCTCCCAGCCTACCCCACCCCGCCAGGCCGGGAGCTCCACCCACACATATCAATGTCCTCCAGGCTCTTGAGGATGTAGTGGGTTGTCTGCGAGGGGTGGCGCTTGCGGTCCCGCAGCCACTTCTCCTGCATTAGTTTCCGGTCCCGCTCTCGGGCATAGATGGGCTTCTGCTGCCTCCAGAAGTTGCTGCGTGTGTCCAGGTAGTTGATGCCTGTCATGATGAGGTCCTCCACGGTCAGGCCACCCTTCACGGTGCCTCTGATCAGGTCTGCAGGGAAGGGTATGAGGAGTCGCCAAGGGCATCCAGCCATAAGGGAGTCGTCCCTTCTGGCCCGGCTCCCTGTGAGGCCCTTTTGTGCTCTGCCTGCAGCTGTGGAACAGTGCAGAACGTCATGCGCGGTGGCACAGCGGCTTCTCCAGGCCCGGACACAGCCAGAGCCCCCTTCACTTCTGTGGGGCGGACCCCTATGGCAAGATATGAGCAGCTGGTATGAGGGTAGCTGGTGGACAGCCTGGGAAGCCCCCAGCCCTCAGCTTCCCATCTCTCACGGTATCCTCAGAGAAGACGGAGTCTCATGCATGACCTGGCCAGGCTACCAGTACCCGGTGACTCCCTGGGTGCCAAGTGGCCCAGAGCATGCTGGGAGGCAGAGGGTGTGCCCAAGACTGCCTGCCGCCTGGCCGGAGTGAGTGCAGGCAGCAAAGCTGCAAGGCCATGCAGGGTTATGTTCAGGCCACCCCTCCCCTCCACAGCAGGCCCTCTGGAGATGGGAGGCATTCAGGCCTGGGTCACCAAGGAGACAGGCCAGCAGGAAGGCTGTCCCTGCATACGGCCCTGCAGGGAACCTTAGGAAGCCAGTTCTAGGGGAAAGGCATTTCATTCAAGGGTGGCCCATGCTCAGGCTTCCCACCCCTCCCCCTTTTTGAGTCAGAGTGTCACTGTCACCCAGGTGAGAGAGGCAATCCTCTCACCTCAAGACCCTGTCTCTTAAAAAAATCAAAACAAGCTGGGCACAGTGGCTCACGCCTATAATCCCAACACTTTGGGAGGCCAAGGCGAAAGGATTGCCTGACCCCAGGGGTTCAAGACCAGCCTGGGCAACTTGGCAGGACTTCATCTCTACAGTAAATCAAAAAATTAGCTGGGCATGGTGGCATAAGCCTTTGGGTCCAGCTACTCGGAAGGCTGAGGTGGAAGGATCGCCAGAGCCCAGAAGGTCAAGGGTGTGCCACTGCACTCCAGTCTGGGCAGCAGAGTGAGACTCCAACTCAAAAAAACAAGTACAAGTCATGTCATTGCCTCCCTATGTGTGACCTTAGTTTCTGCTGGTTTGTGCCTCATTTCCTCATCTGTGAAATGAGAATGCTAAAACAGTCTGTTCGCAGGTCTGTGCAAGCTAACACTGTGTGCCAGGCCCTGCCTCTGGCTCATGCCTGAAGCAACTAGCCAGGCCTCCTCTCCCCAAGGGCCCCACCATGCCTTTACCTTTGTCCAGCAGGAGCTTCTCCAGGTACTCCTTGTCCACATAGAGCTCCCCCAGGAGCTGGCGGACCGTCCTCTGGCTCTTAAGTGAGCCCTTTCGCTTAGGCTCTGTCTTGGCAGGGTGCAGGAGGTGTTTCATGGGATGCGGCTTCTGCTGGGCTTTCAAATTCTGGGAAAATGGAGCAACTCCTCGTAGAGCTTCAACAAGGAGCATGATGTACCCACACAGCCCAGATTCTCTGGCCCCAGATCCTCCAACTTCAGGACCTCTTTGTTGGCTGAAAATCAGGAGCATGCCTGGACAGACCCCAGCTGGGCTCCCACAATCCTGTGGAGGCAGGGCAGGAGCCCACGGCTCCCCAGAGGGACAGAGCTCACTGCTCACAGATGAGAGGGTCATGGAGACCCACGTGTCCTAGGCACATGCGGCCTCCTCCCTGGAGGGACACAGCCGGGAGCACAGGGCACTCACCTCGGCCTGCTTGCTTAGGAAGGACAGGTCCCCCTTGTTCTCCAGCTTAATGGAAGAAGGACCTGCAAGGACAGAAGCTGGGGCTTAGCTCAGCCCAGCCTCAGGCACGACCTGTCGCATATGTCTATGTGGAAATGGCAGCTTTTGGCAGGGGACGGTGGAGGCTGTGGCGAGGCTGGTCCTGAGCCAGCCCAGCAGGCCAGCGGTGCAGTTTTCCAGCGTTCTCCTGGAAGCTGGACAGCCCTGCTAGCCCAAGGCCAAGGCAGCCAGATTTCCAAATGGCGCCAGGCCCTGGGTCACGGGCTATATCTTCACTCTGCCACCCACAGTGGCAAGCTCTCGCCTGCCTCCCTCCTTCCCTCCATAGAGCTAATGGGTGAGACAGTCCTTGGCACACAGGTGGTGAGGGAGAAAGCCAGGGACAGGGGGAGGCTGGGCTACCCGTTCTACCTATGACACCAGGCTAGAGACAGACCTCCTCTGGAGCAGTCCTTCTCTTCAGCTCAAGGAGGACCTGGTGCTACAGTGCCCAGGACAGTGGGCCAGAGCTGGTCCTCCCAGTGGGCAGCCCAGTTGGCAAAGCCAAGGTGGACTCCCTGCAGGCCTGGTGCCAGCTGCTCACCCACTTGGCCCAGGCCTTCCTCTCAACCCAAAGACTATAGGGCTCCCTGCATGAGGACTCAGGCCTGAGCTCACTCACTGCCCACAGAGTTGTTGATGGCTTCCTGGGCTTTCTGTATTCCAACTTTGAACTCCCGGTCAGGCCGCAGCTTATAGCCTCGATGGTAGAACACCAAGGCAAACTCAAAGTCTCCCATGGTGTACAGTGTCTCAGCCTTCTGTAAAATCCCCTGTAAGGAGAGAAGGTCAAGTCAGTGCGGACACAAGAGGCCTTGCAGGCCCTACCTGTGGTGGGACAGAAAGGTCCTAGGTGAGGGTCAAGGCTGGGGTCCGATAGGCAGGCTAGCCAAGGGACCTCTCGAGAGGAAACAGCAGTAAACACTAAGCAGTCTGGCTGGTTCTTCAACTACTTGGAACCGAGGCCGCTGCAGGCGATGGCAAAGGTGAAAACAGGATTGAGTCTTCCCACTGTGCAGTCACCTTGCAGAAAGCCGGGTCACTCTGGAGCGAAGCCTCAGCATCCTGCAGGGACTGCTCCAAGTCTCCCATCTTCAGGAAGCACTTAGAGCGGGCAACCAGGCAGTTCTTATCTCCATTCTGAAGGTGAAGAGCCTGAGGAAGGAACCACCCAGGGTGGTGGGTACCATGAAGAGCAGGGCAGGAGCCCAACGGAAGGAGTGGCACAGACCCTCTGCAAAGCTTTGAGGGGCCTCAGGTAGTAAGCAGGCCTCTGCATCCCATCAGGCCCAAGGCAACATGGCACTGGGCTCCACTTCGCTACCTTGCTGATCTGCCTGCCAAACAAGAGCAAATCACAGCTACCGCGGAAGCCCAGGCAGAGACATGGAATACAGGACTCTGTGGACACACTGACCTCTCATGTGAGCCTGGGAGCCCCCAGGCCACACAGCAGTAGAGCACAGGATGTTTTGTGAACACTCAACTCAGCCACAGACCAGAAATGGCTGCATGGCATGCCTGAAGCAAAGTCAAAGGCTAAGTATTCTGAAGGTAAACAAAAAGAGAACTCAGGGCAACATGCACTGTGGGTTTACCATCCCACGAGCCTTCTCTTTCTATGTAGCTCATCACAAGCAATCACTCTTTCAGGGGACTCAGATGAAAATGCGAGGAAAACAAAGGCCGGGTGCAGTGGTTCATGCCTGTAATCCTAGCGCTTTGGGAGGCCGAGGCAAGAGAACTGCCTGAGCCCAGGGGTTTGAGAACAGTCTGGGCAACATGGCAAGATTTCATCTCTACAATAAATCAAGAAAAACTAACTGGTGCATGCCTGTAGTTCCAGCTATTTAGAAGGCTGAGGCAGAAGGATCGCTTGAGCCCAGCAGGTTGAGGCTGTGAGCGTGCCCCTGCACTCCAGTCTGGGTGACAGAGTGAGACTCCAACTCAAAAAAACAACAACAAACAAACAAAAAAGAAAATGCCAGGAACACCGAGGTGTGCTTGTGGCCCTGAATGGGGTCAGGCGGTTCTCACTCCCCATGTCTCTTCTGCTTCTGTTTGAGATCATTATCATGCGTGTGGGGTCCTGTCCTTCCTGAGGCATCAAACTGCACCCACCTGATTCTAAGATCTGCCTACTTTCTTTTTTTTGGTTGGAGTCTCACTCTGTCACCCAGCCTGGAGTGCAGGGCCATGCTCCTGGCTACGACAGCCTCAACCTGCTGGGTTCAGGTGATCCTTCTGGCTCAGCCTTCCAAGTAGCTGGAACTATAGCCATGTGCCATAACAGGCTAGTTTTTTTGATTTATTGTAGAGACGAGGTCTTGCCATGTTGCCCAGGCTGGTCTCAAACCCCTGGACTCAGGCGATCCTCTCATCTCTGCTTCTCAAAGTGTTGGGATGACAGGCATGAGCCACCGTGCCTGGCTCAGACCTGCCTACTTTTCTAAGAGGAAGAAGCTACTGTCCTTCCTGAAAAAAGGCAGCTTCACACCCAAGGCTACCTTCCCTTGGGGTGATCTCCTCTCTCTGCCTGGGCTTCTCCTGATGGGACATGATCCAGCAAGAGGGTGGTGGCTGGGCAGAGCTCCTGACACAACTCTTTACTCATCTGCTCATCATTCCTGGTGTAGGATGTGTGATCAGTGACTGATAAGGACTCTGGGTGGCATGTGAGAAGTTTGACTTTAGAAAGAGTCTTGTGACTGAGTAGAGGCTGCCCTACCACTCTATTTGGAATAAGAAGTGGGTCATTTGTAGCAAAATAAGTTATCATAAGAGACTGCACATGGTGGCTCAAGCCTGTAACCCCAGCAGCACTTTGGGAGGCCGAGGTGAGTGGACTGTCTGAGCCCGTGGGTTTGAGACCAGCCTGGGCAACTTGGCAAGACTTCGTCTCTACAACAAATCAAAAATTAGCCGGGTGTGGTAGTGCATGCCTGCAGTTCCTGTTACATGGAAAGCTGAGGTAGGAGGATCGCCGGAGCCCAGCAGGTTGACGCTAGGGTGGCCGTGAGTGTGCCACTGCACTCCAGCCTGGGCGACTGAGTGAGACTCCAACTCAAAAAAAAAAAAACAACTTTAAAAATTAGACAGCTGTGGTGGCACATGCCTATAGTTCCAGCTTACTTGAAAAACTGAGGCTGGAGGATCGCTTGAGCCCAGAAAATGGAGGCTGCAGTGAGCTGTGATCATACCACTGCACTGCTTGGGCAACACAGCAGGATCCTGTCTCAAAAATATTCTAACTTTTTTTTTTCCTTTTTTTAGAGGTGAGGTCTTGCCAAATCACCCAGGTTGGTCACAAACCCGTGGGCTCAGGCAATCCTCTTACCTTGACCTCCCCAAGTGCTGGGATTACAGACATGAGCCACTGCATCCTGCTCTATAATTTTTTTTTTTTTAAATAAAAAGAAATTGGCCAGGCTCAGTGGCTCAGCCTGTAATCCCAGCACTCTACAGTAAAAATCAAAACAGCCGGGCGTGGTAGTGTGCGCCTATAGTTCCAGTTGCCTGGGCAACGGAATGAGACTCCAAACCCAAAAAAATAAAATAAAGGCTGGGCTCGGTGGCTCAGCCTGTAATCCCAGCACTTTGGGAGGCTGAGGTGAGTGGATTGCCTGAGCCCGTGAGTTTGAGACCCACCTGGGCAACTTGACGAGACCTCATCTCTACAACAAATTAAAAATTAGCTGGGCGTGGCAGCACGTGCCTGTAGTTCCAGCTACTTGGAAGGCTGAAGCTAAAGGATCGCCAGAGCCCAGCAGGTTGAGGCTGCAGTGGCTGGGAGTATGCCACTGCACTCCAGTCTGGGTGACAGAGTGAGACTCCAACTCAAAAAAATAAAATAAAATAAAAAGTTGTCATAAGAACATCTTACAGTTGACTTGTGTGGATGTGTACTGTGGTGATTAGCACCTCAGCATTGGACTCTGACTGCCTGGCTTTGAGTCCTTCTGCTGCCACATGCTAGTTCAGGGACCTTGAGGAAGTTGCTCAATTTCCATATCTATTTCCTCAATTTCTGTATGTTTCCTCATCTATAAAATGCAGTAGTAACAGTTTCACCCTCCTAGGCTTGTGCTGCCTGTAGGCATGTGCCTGGTATCCCCAGACCACCCAATCCCCTTAGGGTGGGGTGGTACAACTTTTACTAAGGTCACTATAGTAACATTACTTACTGACCACCCTTTATGAACAACCGTATGCCACAGATATTGCAGCTTCTTCATGCAACCTGTCGCCCAATGATGGGACACTGAGGCTGCTCTGTGGAAAAAGTCCAGTTAGTGGCAAAACATGCAAGTGAAAGTATAGGAAGAGGTTACTATTATCGCAGAGAATAGAACGCAAGTAGGAACTGCTAGAAGATGACCAAGCATGGGCTTATGTGTAATAGTGGTATATCAGTCAAGAACCAATGAATAGGTCGAGCTTTGTGGCTCATGCCTGTAACCCTAGCACTTTGGGAGGCCAAGGCAGGAAGATCATTTGAGGCCAGGAGTATGAGATCAGCCTGGGCAACTTAGTGAGACTCTCCATTGCCATAAAAATAAAAACTAGCCAGGCACAGTGGCTCACACCTGTAATCCCAGCAATTTGGAAGGCTGAGGAGACAGAATTGCCTGAGACCAGTCTGGGCCACATAGCAAGACCTCGTCTCCACAATAAGTAAAAAAAATTAGCCGGGCGTGGTGGCACACACCTGTAGTTCCAGCTACTTGAAAGGCTGAAGTGGAAGGATGGCCTGAGTCCAGCAGGTTGAGGCTGCGGTGGCCATGAGTGTGCCACTGCCCTCTGGTCTGGGCGACTGAGACTCTGACTCAAAAAATAAATAAAAATAAATAAATTAAAATTAAAAAGAAATTGTAAATAACAGAAACAATAGGGTTCTCTAGACACTATCGCGGCCTCAGTGTCATCTGTAGTCCAAAGTGGTGACAGGCGACGGATGGGTTCAGAGCGCGACTCACGTTGCTGAAGCTCTGGGCGGCTTTGGAGAATTCTCCGCATAGATAGAGCCGCTCGCCCTCCGCCATGTAAGAGGGGAAGGTGCTTCGCAAGCTCTCGCCTTCGGGCTCCGACATGGTGACCGGAGACGGAGACGCTAACGCCAAGGAACAGAGGGAACGAAGCCAAGGGACCGCTGCGCGGCTCCGTCTCCTAGCAACCAGGAGACTAGGAGCGACTTCCGGTCCCGCCCCTGGCTCCTGCGGGAGCGGCTCCCGGTAGGAAGCGCCCGTCGTGCGCATGCGCCAGGGCTGCGGCTCACACGGCCTGGGAGTGGTGAACGCGTGGCCGGCGGCTGTAGGGCGGCTGCAGGGAGCCCGAGCTCTCCAGTGTTTGCTGGTGCACGCTCCATCAGTGTTTCTCCGGGGCTGCCACGTGAAAGGAAGTCCAGAAAACAGGAAGAGAGTGGGAGGCAAAGTTCCAAATAGGAATAAGGCAGACATGGCAAGACTGTGTGGCCCTTTAGGGGGAGAGAGCCTTGGGCTCGGAGTGAGCTTACACAGGTTGTGCTGACGCCAGTCACTTACTAACTGCGTGACCCTGCGCGAGGCATGTAAGGGCCCAGAGCCTCGAATGTGCCACTTGCCAAATGAATATGAAAATAATAGAACCCTCAGGGATGTGAGGATTTGCATGGAAAATAACATTGAGTTTGACATCTTTTTTTTTTTTTTTTGAGACACCGTCTCACTCTGTCGCCCAGACTGGAGTACAGTGGCACGATCCTGGCTCACTATGCTGCGCAGGCTAGTCTCAAACTCCTGGGCTCAAGCAATCCTTTTGCCTAGGCCACTGTGCCTGGCCAGGAAAGAATAGTCTTTTCCACATTTGGTATTTGAACAGTTAGCAATATGGAAAAAACAAAAACCTTGATTACTACGTCACACTATATACCAAAGTTGATTAGAAATACTTAAATGGGCAGGACGCGGTGGCTCAAGCCTGTAATCCCAGCACTTTGGGAGACGGAGGCAAGCGAATTGCCTGAGCTCACAGGTTTGAGACCAACCTGGGCAACTTAGTGAGCCCTCATCTCTACTTATCAAAAAATAAGCCAGGCGTGGTAGCTCTCACCTGTAGTTCCAGCTACTTGGAAGGATGGGGCAGAAGGATCACCTGAGCCCATCAGGTCAAGGCTTTGGTGGCCATGGGTGACAGAGTGAGTCTCCGACTCAAAAAAAAAATTGACTGGGCTCGTTGGCTCAGCCTGTAATTCCAGCACTTTGGGAGGCCGAGGTGAGTGGATTGCCTGAGCCAGCCTGTGGGTTCGAGACCCGCCTGGGCTGGCTCAGGCAATCCACTCACCTCAGCCTCCCAAAGGCGTGGGATTACAGGCTGAGCCACCGAGCCCGGCTAACAAAGGAATACTTAAATGTAAGAGGTTAAAATTAGAAAAAAATAGATGAAAATAATGAGACACAAAAAAGCATGAAAAAGAAAAATTTGACTTCATCAAAATGGAAATCCTTTGCTCTTCGAAAGACACTGTTAACTGTAAAATTAAAAGGCTGGCCATAGACTGGCATGGAATATTGGCAAAACACATTGACAACTTGTATCTACAATACATAAAGGGACTTTAAAACTACTACGATTTGAATACTTACTTAACTAAAGAAGATTTAGGGATGAACAATTCATACATGAAAAGATCCTCAAAGTCATTAGTCACTAGGAAAAATACAAATTAAAAACCACAACAAGATACCACTATACACCTACTAGAATGTCTTTACAAAAAAAAAAAAGACTGAGACTGAAAACAGTGCAGTGGCTCATGCCTGTAATCCTAGCACTTTGAGAGGCTGAGGTGAGAGGATTGCCAGAGCCCAGTGTTCAAGACCAGACTGGTCAACTTGGTGAGACCTCCTCTCTGCAATAAATAAAAAATAATAATTAGCTGGGCGTGGTGGCATGCACCTGTAGTTCCAGCTACTTGGAAGGCTAAAGTGGAAGGCTCACCTAAGCCCAGCAAGTCGAGGCTGCGGTGGCCATGAGCGTGCCACTGCACTCCTGCCTGGGCAACAGCTGACTCCAAAAAGAAAAGACTGGCCTTGACTTCACCTTGTATTGGCGAGCCAGTCAAGTAACTGGAACTCTCCTCTACTCCTTATGGGAATGTAAAATGCTATAACTACTTTGGGAAACAGTTTGGCAGCCTCTCAACAAGTTAAAAAAGTTAGTGTACACTTACCATATGATTCAGGCATTCAACCCCTAGGAATTTACCCACAGGAAATCAAAGCATATGTCCACATAAAGACTTGAACATGAACATTCTTTTATTTTATTTTTTTGAGTTGGAGTGTCACTCTGTCACCCAGGCTGGAGTACAGTGGCATGTTCATGGCCACCCCAGCGTCGACCTACTGGGCTCCAGCGATCCTTCCACCTCAGCCTTCCAAGTAGCCGGAACTACAGGTGTATACTACCACGCCCAGTTAAAAACATGAACATTCTCAACATTCTTGCCTGTAATAGCCCCAAACTGGAAACACGTTCACCAGCTGGTGAATGAATAAACAAATTGTAGCTTATCCATGTAATGAAATACTGCTTAACAAGATAAAGAATACATGACTGATACGTGCATAATATGGCTAAATCTCAAAATAATTATGCTGAGTGAAAGAAGACAGACAGGTGGAGGCGAGAGGATTGCCTGAGCCCAGGAGTTCGAGACCAGCCTGGGTAACTTGACCAGACCTTGTCTCTACAATAAATCCAAAAATTAGCTGGGCATGGTGGTGTGTACCTGTGGTTCCAGCTTCTTGGAAGGCTAAGGCAGAAAGATTACCTGAGCCCAGGAGGTCGAGGCTGCAGTGAGCTGTGATTGTCGTGATCATGTCACTGTGATTGTTATGATCATGTCACTGCACTCCAGCCTGGACGGCAGAGTGAGACCCCAAACTAAAATCTCTCTCTCAAGCCAGGCTTGGTGGCTCAGCCTATAATCCCGCGCCTTGGGGAGGCTGAGGTGAGTGGATTGCCTGAGACCGTGGGTTCGAGACCTGCCCGGGCAACTTGGTGAGACCTCATCTCTACAATAAGTCAAAAAATTAACTGGGTGTGGTAGCACGCGCCTGTAGTTCCAGCTACTTGGAAGGCTGAGGCGGAAGGATCACTGGAGCCCAGCAGGTCGAGGCTGTGGTGGCTGGGAGCGGCCACTGCACTCCAGTCTGGGCAACAGAGTGAGACTCCAACTGAAAAAAAAAAAAAAAAAAAATCACACACACACACACACACACACACACACACACGCACGCACAATAAATTAGCAATCATAATGTGTGCTTTTTGGCAGTTTATAAAGCACTTTGTGATCTTCACAACACTCTGGCTAGGGAGAGAGCCAGCCAGTGTCTTCCTGGTTCCATAGATGAAACACAGAGGCTAAGAGAGGTGGCAATGTTTGCCCCAGGCCACAGCACCAGGATACTGCACTGGGATCCATGCCTTGGGTTGGATTAACAGAGTAAAAAGAAATGGAATTGGGCCAGGCACGATGGTTCATGCCTGTAATCTCAGCACTTTAGGAGGCAGAGGTTAGAGGATTGCCTGAGTTCAGGGGTTCAAGACCAGCCCGGGCAACTTGGTTAGATCTCGTCTCTATAATAAATTAAAAAAAAAATTAGCCAAATGTAGTGGCATGTGCCTGTAGTCCCAGCTACTTGGAAGCCTGAGGTGGAAGGATCACCTGAGCCCAGCAGGTTGAGGCTGCGGTAGCTGTGGTCTTGCCACTGCTCTCCAGTCTGGGCAGCAGAGTGAGACTGACTCAAAAAAAAAAAAGAACTGGAATTGTTTTCCAACCTGTCTTAGCCATTAATATCTGGGTTTCCCATGTTACCTCTTTATTTCTTCTTTTATTGTGAAGTAGGACATAGGCACAGAAACATACATAAAGCATACATGTGCAGTTTAATAAATAATGATTAAATGAACACCCAAGTAATCATCACACAGGTAAGTCAAGAAACATATTGCCAGCAGGAGACTCCCTGAGAGGTCCCTGCCCAGTGACAGCTCCCTTCTCAGGTCTGTTGCCTTCACTGTTAGTACCCTGGTGTGAGCCCCCAGCATCTCCCTCCAGGATTACTGCAATATCCTCCTAACTGGGTTTCCTTTTCTACCCATCCCCCAACCCTTTCTCAACACAACAGTCAAGATTCTTTTTTGTTTTTATTTTTGTTTTTGAGTCAGAGTCTCACTCTGTCGTCCAGGCTGGAGTGCAATGGCACAATCATGGCTTACTGTAGCCTTGACCTCCTGGGCTCAGGCAATCCTTCCACATCAGCCTCCTGAGTAGCTGAGACCACAGGTGCATGCCACCATGCTTGGCCAATTTTTGTCTTTTTTTTTTTTTTCTGTAGAGATGAGGTCTGGCTATGTTGCCCAAGCTGGTCTCAAATTCCTGGGCTTAAGCAATCCTCTCACCTTGGCCTCCCAGAGTGCTGGAATTACAGGCATGAGCCACCATGTCTGGCCTCCTAGACCCTAAAGATTGGTGTTGGGTAGAGACTTGGGCCTCTTCAGAGGCAGTCAACTCGTATCTGTACACCATGACCTCTGCTCCTGCCTGTGCTTGAAATACTTTGCAAACATAAAACATGGCAAAGACAGACAAGAGGCAAAAATAATAAACTCATTCAGAGGTGAGGGTAAACATGACATATGTAAAAGTCAAGGGGGAGTGATTTGTGTGGGGGAGGGGCTGCACAGGCTCTTCCTGAAAGAGGAGGGAGGAAAGGTGGCAGTATTTGAGGGGGTGAGGGTGGAGTGCAGATAATGCCGGGAAGGGGCCAGTCTGGAGCTGGTTGGGTTGCCTGGAGAACCTTCAATCCCTGAATGCAGACACTGCATCCCCAGAGAGATGACTGCTGCCCTACAGTATCCCTGGGGCCAGCATCCTCTGGGATTAGAGGGGGGATCCCGGCGTGGTAGCGCGTGCCTGTAATTCCGGCTACTCAGAAGGCTGAGGTGGAAGGATTGCTGGAGCCCAGTAGGTCGAGGCTGCAGTGGCAGGGAGCCTCCCCAGGAAACGTGGGCAGTTGGCTCCAAGGGGAGGCTGGTCAGCACTGGGCGAGAGCAAGTGGTGCAAGGTG